GTTTTCACCCATGCTAGGTGCTGGGGTCTGCACCCTGGCAACCTGCTCAGGACCTCCTGAGTCACTCGATGACAGGGCATTCTGATAACAGAACGGTGGGTTACTGCAATAGTCAAGGCAAGGAATAAGGAGGTGGGGGGGGGGGAGAAGGGGAGATACAGAAACCTTCTCTGAGAGCCACTGGGTGATGGCCTTCCACCATCAGTTCCACTCCCAGGGGAGCCCAGGCCATATTACAGTGGCTGGGGTCCCCATCCCCCTACACAACACAGTCCCTAGGACTTGCCGTGAGAATGGCCTCTGCCCTCACTGACCAGCATGACAACAGACAGCCACCAGCAACAAGTGACCCCTGAGCACTTCAAACCTGCCTTGTGAGCTGGGTGCTAGTGGTTCCGGCCTATAATCCTGAAATACTTAGGAGGAGGCTGCGATCCGAGAGCAGAAAATAAATCTATGTGACTCTTGCTTCCAATTAACCTGCAAAAAGCCTAGAGTGTGGCTCAACTGGTAGAGCACCAGCCTTGTGAGGTAAAAGCCAAATAAGAGCAGGAGGCTCTGACGTCAAGCCCCAGTCCTGGTACTACACCTATGCCTGTATGCGTGCACACACACACACACACACAACCACTTGGCCTGTGTAACTGAGAGATCACTTCCTTCTCTTTTTTTTTTTGATGATTTTTATTATCTTTAAGTAGTTATACAAAGGAGTTGCCATTCAACAAAGCAGTTGATGAATACGGCACGTCTTGATCAACGTCACCCCTTTCAACAACCTCAGCCACCCCTCCCCACCCACCCCTTCCCTCGTTTTTCTTCATTTTTAGGGTATGGATTGAATTTTTTTGCCATTTAACAAAGCAGTTTATGTATAGAAAGCTTCATGATCTTCACTCTCTTTCAACCCACCCCTCCCCTTATTTTTCTCAATTCTGTGATATATACAATGAATTCTTCACTGCATTCTTCCCCTTCCCCTTCATTCAGCTACTCCATCTCCCCTTGGCCTCCCTCTCCCCAACCCCAAGTTGAAACATAATCATCTCGTGGGAATCCACCCCTGAGACTGAGGAGACGCTGTCCTGAAAAGTGCAGGTAGAGCCTTTCAATCACCATAGAAAGTTCCACTGGAGACAGACCAGAGCCCTCCCTTACACTGGCGTGAGCACACGCACCTCCCCCAGGCCCCCCCAACTCCACCTGCAAGGGCCCCCTCAGGACTCAGCTCTCCTCCTCCCTCCAGATGTGGCCTTCCTGCCCTTCCCAACACTGAGAGAAGGTCTAAACACAAGACCCTCCCTCCCCCTCCTCTCCCCTCCTTCCCCCCTCTCTCCTTTTCCCTCCTCCCCCTCCCCTGACGCTCAGACTGACCGTTGGGACTAACGGCCCAGGCCTCATCATCACAAAGGGCTGGCAAGGGAGTGGGTCAGCCAGATGCTGGGGGAGGCAGGGGACAGGGGAAAGGCAGTGCAGGACCCCCCCCCCCCAACCCGGCCTGCAGGAGACTTGACCCCTCCTGTCTCTGCCCAAGAGTGAAACTCCTCACCTCCTAGCTTCCACAAAACACTTCTCAACAGAACTCCAACCCCCAGCAGAATTTTCCAGATTCTTGGAGGGAAAAGCTATTCCTTTCATCTCTAGCATCAGTGGAGTCAGTGCGCCCCCACCTGGCTGGCGTCTCCAGCTCTAAATGTGACCCTATTAGCTTCTTTCAAGCCATTTTTATTTGCTTAGAATAGGTAGTGGAGGCCTCGTGTCTGTTTGCCACTAAGAATTCAGAGGTGCCGAGTCTCTGTCCTCACAGCCTGGTAAGAGAGACAGGACTAACAAACTGTCATTATGACGCTGTATAAAAATACCACCAACCCTCCACTTCCCTCCTGGGCTACGGCAGAGAACAACCAAGGAAGGCTTCAGGGAGGAAGCGGTTTCTAAGCTGGGAATAAACAAGTGGCAGCCACTGTGTGTGAAGAGTTGAATATGTAGAGTCCCGGGAAGGAAGCACAGCTTGAGCAAAGACAGAGAGAAAATGGTGGTTGTAAATGTTTGGGAGCTACTGGTGAATGAGTCAGGCTGGCCAGATCACAGGATGGAAAAACAACACAGGGCGGGACAGACAGGCAGGAGCTAGAGCATGTGACAGGACCAAGGGAAAAGAACCCTGAAGCCAACAAGAAATTTGCAAAGGGTTTGAATCCAAGGTTTCAAACATGGATGTGAGCCCAGCCCTCGTGGTTCACGCCTGTAATCCTAACTACTCAAGAGGCTGAGGCGAGGAGACTCATAATTCAATGACAACCCAGGCAGAAAAGTCTTCAAGGTTCCATCTCCAATTAATCAGTAAAAAGTCAGAATGGAGGTGTGGCGCCAGTGGTAGAGGATCAGTTGTGAGCAAAGTTGAGCAAGAGTGCATGGCCCTGGGTCCAAGCCCCAGTACTGGCAGGCAGACTGCCCAGGCACACTCATGCATGCATGCGCACGCGTGCACGCACATGCACACACACACGCACACACACAGTACAGGGAAGAGCCTGGCACCTTTCTTTTTGCAGGTGAAAGTTAGACAAAAGGAGACACGGGGAGACATGAGGAGAATGTTAAGATGGGACACATCAGGTGGTGGACTGAGGAGGTTAAGGGAAGGGTCGGGGAGGAGAGCACCCCGGTAATGCTGCTCACACAGCCCACAAGCCCATTTCGCTGGGGAGAGCATGCGTGGAAGGATGCTAACATGCCCCCAGCAGGCCAGGTACCACCCCAGCCTGCCCCTGCCACCTAATCTGCACAAAAGGTGAGCCAGGAGCTCTGCACCCCACTTTGGCCACTCTCCCATTTCCTGCCAAGCCCCCTCCACCAGTCCAGAGGAGAAGGGCAGGCTGCCCTGACAAGCCCTTATTGCCCAACCTGAAACCACTGGGCACCTCTCCCTCATTCCTGCTGTCCACAACTCCAGACGCTAAAAGAACAGAATGAGCCCAGCACAATGAAATAAATCACTGCCAGGTTTGCCCAGTCGGGAGATATCACACATGGCCCCCCACCAGGATGCTGAACTGACCTCTCAGGCTATTCTATAACAATCTTCCAACACATCTTTGTTCCAGGACCCCTCCCGAACAGAGCCTTACTTTAATATACCACACACTACCATCATCGAGGCCAGGGGCAGATGAGAAACTGAGGCCTGGGTTCTAAACAGTCCCCAGGTGGCCAGAATTGGGCCCGTGTATGTTCTGGGAATCCAGGTGGCTGCCATGGGGTAGGAGTGAGGGGTGGAGCGCCCTGGGGGGTTCATCTTGGGGCGGGGAGGGGCGGCACAGTCGTGGAAGGGACGGTGGAGGGGGGGGGGGGAAGTCTCCCAGAACCAGGGGGTCAAAGCTGAAGCAGGGCCCGGTGGCCCCGGAGCTGCAGATCAAGCACCCAGTGAGCAGCTAAGAAAACCTGAAGCCTCAAGAGCCCGGGCCTGAGACGCCCACCGGGGGCGGGGCGGTGAACTCGACCCCGGGAGCCGGTGGTCAGCGACCTGAAGGTGTCGGTCTCTCGGAGGCCCGCGCGGATCTCGGCTTCGGTTCCCCCGCGGGCTGGGGGGAGAAGGGAGGGGGCGTCTCCGGGTTCCTCGGCGCAGGAGAGAAGGGGAGGCCCCGGGCGAGGCCGGCACCGAGGCCCGCACGGCGCGGCCGGAGGGGCCCGTGGCCTGCGGCCCAGGCCTCAGTGGGGGCCTCCGGGACACGCACGCACAAACACACCGGACACACGGCCCGCAGCACACACACTCCGACGCGCGCGCGGATTCCCGGGCGCGGGCCGTGGATCACCGCGATCGCGCACACCCCAAACGATGTCAGGCTCCGAAACACACACCCGGAGTGCGCGATCACCCCGCGGGTGCAGCGTGGAGGCAGCTACGTGTGCACACACGAGCGCGCGCACACACACACACACACACACGCCGAGGCGCACGGCGGCGGCCCGGAGGCCGCACAAAGTTGCGGAGCGAGCGTCCCGGGGGAGCCGCGCGCCGCGGCGGCGGTGGGGGCTGCGGTCCCCAGCCCCCTCCCCCGTCCCCCTCCCCTCCGCGGCCCTCCCCTCCGCTCCGCCCGCCCCGCGCGCCCGGCGCCGCCTCGGATCAGCCTCCCGCCAGCGCCGCGGCGAACTTGAGAAACAACAAACAGCCCCGACATGTCGGAGTCGGCGGCCGCGGGCCGCTCGCTCCCGCAGGCCCGAGCACCCCGGGGCGCCGCCGCGACCACTTGTTCCGGCCCGGCGTGCACACGCGCGTGCACACGCAGACACAGGCGCGTGTACACACGACCCGCCGGCGTCGTCCACCTCTCCCACCCCCCCCTCCCCGGGCCCCGTGCACACTGGACCCCGGCCCAAGCGCACACCACCCTCGCACACTCACACCCGCTCCCCTTGCACACTCGGCACACACACAGCGCGCACCACACTCCCCAGACACTCCCACACGTACACACCGCGCGCCTGGGCACACACACACGCGTTCCGGACCCATTCCCACGCCGGCACACGTCCGGGGATCTCACAAGCACACACACACCACGCACGCGTCCCAGGGTCCGCACTCCGGGCACGCGCGCACACGCACACACTTCACAGCACTCCCGGCTCCGGCACACACAAACGCCAACACACTCAACGTATTTTAGCAGATCCAACTCCGGTCACACAACCAAACTCAGAGACACACACGGCAGACACACAGCCCACTCGGCCGCACGCACACCCGACGGCGCGCGCCCTGCGTGCGCCTCGAGGCACACCACCTCCACCCCGACGCGCGGGCACCGCACGCGCACACGCACACACACACACACACCTCTCCTCGCACCCCCAACTACGGACACGCCACACTCGCAGGCCCCCGGGCGCCCACGGGAGCACGCTCGCGCCGCGCGGCGACCCCACACTCACACTTTCTTCCGAGCTACGACACGGCCTCGCGGGGCAAAGCCGGCTCGGACCCGCGCGCTTACCTGCCGGAGTCTCCGTCTCCGGAGCGCAGAGCTGGAAGGTGAGCGCCAGGACCAGCGCCTGGGCGCGGGCCATGACGAGGGCACCGCCGCCTGACCCCCGGGCCCCGGCGCTGAGCGGAGGGATGGACGGGGGCTGGGGGAAGGCCGCCGCCGCCGCCGCCGCCGGAGCCCCAGCCGAGCCCGAGGCGAGCTGGAGCCGGAGCGGAGCGGCGCGGCGCGGAGCAGGACTGGCGCCGAGTCCAGAGCGGGAGCCCGAGCTAGCGGGGCGCTGACGTCAGGCCCGGCCGTGCGTTCCGCGGTCTCGCGGCGCCCCCTGCCGGCGGTGGCGCGCGCTGCCGCCGGAGCCCGAGGCCCGCCACCCCGGCGCGCCCTTCCCCCGCGCCCGCACCCCGGCCTGCAGGCTGGGGCCTGGCGGGGACGCCCGCTGGCCTCGCTTGCACCCACATGTCCGGGGTGCACGCGCACTTCCCACGCCCCTCGTGGGCGCTGGCAGTGACCTCTTGTGTGATGGGGTGCAGACTGTCGGTTATCTCCCAGGACATGGTACCCGCCCCGCGCCGCCCCCACCTCCAGCTACCAAGGGAGGAAATGCTGGCTTTTCCGCGACTGGAAATCCATCTCCTTCACGGGTCCTACTCTACCTTCTGACTACCCAGGTTAAGTAGATTTGAGTCTCTGCCCTGTGCTAAGGTCTCACACAGTGACCAGAAAATTAAGTTGCCCGCAGCAAGGAAAACCAGGCTCCTGTGTGCTTTCCCACTGGAACTCCATTACTGTCCACCATAACCCTGCTAGACATACCCTATTACCCAGGTGCGGAGACCAAGGTGCAGAGACACACTGTAACCCATCCAAGGTTGTCCATATAAATGAGGCAGCACCAAATTGGGAATCAAAGTTCTAGCTTGAATTGAATAAAAGCTGAGACCCACCTCCCTCTTGAAGTACTTATTGGCTACTGATTCATCAGTTCAACACTTATAAGGTAGGCATGGTGATGCACACCTGTGATTCCAGCACTGGGATCTGAAGCAGGATAATCTAAAATTTTGAGCCAAAGAAAGAAAGGAAGGAAGGAAGGAAGGAAGGAAGGAAGGAAGGAAGGAAGGAAGGAAGGGAGGGAGGAAGGAAGAAAGGAGAGGAGAGGAGAGGAGGGAGGGAGGGAGAGAGGGAGAGGGGAAGAAGGGAGAAAGGAGGGAAGGAAGGGAGGAAAGAAAGAAGGGAAAGAGAAGGAAGGAAGGAAGGAAGGAAGGAAGGGGGAAGAAAGGGGGAGGGAGGGAGGATAGATATAATAAACCATGGCACCGATCCAAAATAGACAAAAAAAATTCCAAGAACAATTAAACAAAGCAAATTCTCTGTCTTATATCCCTAATCACTGTCTCAAACACCAGAGATTTTGGAGGAAAAGGAATAATACTGATAGAGAAGAGGGCGTTATAGATCTAAAGAGAGTAGCCACTATATGATAGATGCATTATTTATTTTCATCTTTGGAACATGTGCTCCCTCAGGGAAAGACTGTCCTGTGTCCCAGTGGGTGGTGTCTGGCATGTAGTTAGTGCTCAATCAATACTAAATGGGTAAATGATAGCTGGAAGAAATACAGACATGACCCTGGCTTGCATGAAGCTTACACAGCAGTGAGAAGACCAATCCCAGATGTAAATAAAGTACAGGGTGGCGATCTGAGAGAGACACACTCAAGGAGACGGATGAAGTGTGATAAAGACCCTGGAGGAGGTATGCCCACTTTACATAAAAGGTGGAGGAAGAGACATGATGCCTTGTGAGCTGAGACGTGAGGAAGGAGAAGAAGCCAACTGCATACAATCAGAGAGACAAGCTGGTAGGCTTGAGTGGGAAAGCATCCATCCAGGGTCAGGGAAGGAGTGGGTGGGGAAGAAAGGGCAACATGACCTTCATGCAAGGTACTATGGGCAAGGAATGGGCTTAGGGGTAAGCCAAAAAAGCAACAGAAATCCAATGAAGCTCTAATCAGAAGAATAATGAGTTCTGATCTGTGTGTGTGTGTGTGTGTGTGTGTGTGTGTGTGTGTGTGTGTGTGTGTGTGTGTTCCAGTACTTGAACTCTGGGCCTTGTGTTCTTGTTCAGCTTTTTCACCTGTAGCTGGCACTCGAGCCACACCTCTCCAGTCTGGCTTCTTGCTAGCTTATTGTCCTGGCTGGCTTCTAATTGTGATTTTGAGATTTCAGCCTCCTGGGTAGCTAAGATTATAGGCATGAGCTTCATGCCTTGCATAAAGCATGGCACGTGGCTAATGTGATTTTTTTAAGTTCACCAAGCAGCAAATAAGCAGTGCTGTTAGACAAAACCTAGGAATTCTGGGTGTATATAAACCCCCCCTCTGTTCCCTGCCTCCTCTGCCAACTGACTCACACCAAAATTGGGACACTCAGAAGCTAGCCTGGGCTGGAAGGGGCAGAGTTGAACATTCCTGGTTCTTGGTCTCCTCCCTTATGAACAGTGCTGAGCTCCAGGCTGAGATGAGAAAGGACCCAAAGACACAGAACAGGCAAGAGCCAGATGCAAAGAATCACAGCAGAAGCTGGGCGCTGGTGGCTCACATCTATACTCCTAGCTACTTAAGAGGCTGAGATCTGAGGATCACGGTTCAAAGCCAGCCTGGGCAGGAAAGTCTGTGACACTCTTATCTCCAATAAATCACTCAAAAAACCGGAAGTGGCACTGTGGCTCAAGTGAGCTGAAGAGCTGAGGGACAGTGCCCAGACCCAGAGTTCAAGCCCCATGACAGACAAGAAAGAAAGAAAAGAAAGAAGGAAAGAGAAAGAGAGAGAGAGAGAAAGAAAGAAAGACAGAAAGAGAGAGAGAGAGAGAGAAAGAGAATCACAGCAGAGTCACAGGGAGACAGATGCAGAAGTAAAGAAAAAGTAATGAACAAGAAAGTACAATGGATGCTGGAGTAGAGACAGAGCCACCCAGAAAAAGCAGAGAACGGGGGATGCTGTTTGCAGAGGTCTCTAGGGGCCTCGGGACAGGAATTTGTGAGTGACTTCCTTCTGTGGGTGAAGCTCAGTAAACATATGGCACTTGCTCAGAGCCACTCAGCAAATACAAGCATGGTGAGCCCCAGACTTGAACCCACATCTAACTGATTCCATAGCCCCTTGCTCCTTGTGCAGGGGACAGCCACAGAGACTCTGATGAAGGAAAGAGTGCAAGCAACAGAGGATGAGGAAAAGACAACATCCTGGTGTTTACAGACTTCTGTAATCCTTGAGAGAAGAAGAAAGGAAGAAGCAGTATCCTGACCCAGAGTGACCGGCCTAAATCTAAGAAGGAGACAACAGCATTAGCAGCACCGGGTCATGAGGAAACTCAATGACCGGCAACTCATGGAATATTTACAATGCCTCTCCCATGCCAAGCCCCACCCTGAGGGCTGGTACCACAGAGATGAGTCAACCAAGGCTGCCCTCTTTCCTGAAGGGGCAGTGGGCACATCAAAAATGATGAGTCAAAACACAGGTTCAGGGAAGACCCAAAGGCAGCAAGGAGTTCACTCAATAAAATGAGATCTTGAGTTTCCCAGGTAGGCAAGGCAGGGAAGAATATTTCATGAAGGAGGAACCTGAATCAGACAAGGAAGGACTGGCAAAGGTGGGTATCAGGTACAGATGGATCATAGCCTGCAAGGCCCAGAGTAACAGTAGAAGGTAACACTAGAAGATAGGGTGGGTTTCCATGAGCAAAGCCATCCAGGACAATTGGACGTGAGCCCCTTAGTCAGTGATTTTCAAACTGTACCCCTGGGGCAACACAGATGGCCTAGACTAAAAGTGAGAGTTGTAGGGATGTACCATGAGACAAAAGTCCAGCTCAAGAAGGAAGATTTGTTGGATGATTCCCCAGGCTTGCTGGCCAGGTGGCCTAAAATTCAGAGGAGCTACTCGGGGAAGAAGATAATGTGACCAGCTCAACGTCACCCAGGGCATCTTGCAACAGAGGATTATTTTATTTCACCTGGCACAATGAGTCATGTGTGTCACTGTGAACATACATGAATAAGACAGGTTTGTGTGTGTGCTCATATACAATTGTGGGACCAGGCCTTTCTTCCACTGTAAGTATGAACAGACCAGGCCCTGGTGGCTCATGCCTGTAATCCTAGCTACTCAAGAGGCTGAGATAGGGAGGATCACTGTTTGAAGTCAGCCCAGGCAGAAAAGTTCATGAGAGTCTCTGTCCAATTAACCAAAAAGCAGGATTGGAGGCATGGCTCCCGTAGTAGAATACCAGCTGAGCAAGTGCAAGGCCCTGAGTTCAAACCCCAGCAGAACCAAAAAGAAGAATATTTACTGAACATATATGAGCCACACCCTCGTCTCATTCATATTCATAATAGCCCCCCATAATAGTTGAACATAATAATCTCTTTTGATCTTCATGACAACCTTGAAACATAATTATTCATCCTTTGGCTTGGCTTTTTCCTTGGAGTCCTGCAAATAGAACCCAGGACTTCACAGCTATGAGGCAAGCTGTTCCACAAAGCTCCTCTTCAGCTCCATTCCTTAGGGATTCCTGAAGGAAATAGAGATACAGAGAAGCTAAATGCCTAGTCCAAAAGGAAATTTCTAGAAAATGGCAGAGCCAGAACTCAAAGCCAGATCTGCTCAAGTCCAGCTCCCATACCCTTCATCATGGTACAGTGCTATGTTCTCTTCCTCAGAAAAAAAAAAAGCTATAGATGGCTCCAAAGCCAGTAAAATCCAGAGAAAGGAACTCTTGCTTACCCGTCAACACCCTAGCTTTAGCCCATGCACCAGGCCACTGGCAACATCTTATTCTAGGGGACTTGTAAGGATGTGTACTCCTGGACCTCTCCCCAGGATTCTAATTATTGGTCTGAGATCTCAAGTGATTTTTATATGCACAGAAGATTTGGAGACAGAAGGCTGGCTTCACCAGCACCTCCTCCAAGAGCACTCATCATGTCCCCAGCCTCCTCTCAGACTACAGTACTGAACTCACAGACACTAACTGGGGTTAGTGTCTTTATCAGGATACACTTTTTTTTCCCCTCCATTTTCAAAAGGAACCCTCACATATTGTTGGTGGGAATGTAAACTAGCACAACCACTATGGAAATCAGTATGGAGGTTTCCTCAAAAAACTAAAACTAGACCTACTTTAGGGTCCTGCCATAAAGTATCCAAGGAAAGTACATTAATATACAAAAAGATACCTGCACACTCATGTTTATTATGGCTCTGTTCACAATAGCAAAATGGTAGAATTTATCAAGGTGCCCAACAGCTAAAGTACATATATACACATGTTTATATATATATATATGTATATATATATATATATATATATAAAGAGAAAGTTGAACAGTGAATAATATCCAAATTCACTGCACTTATAGATGATGGCGACGAAACTCATTGAAAGCTGTCAAATACATAAAAGACCAGTAGAAAGATGAGGAAAAAGAGACAATAGAAAGGGTTAATCTGATTAAAACATAATACATATATGTGTGAAATACAATGAAATTCCTTTGTACAACTAATATACACTACAGAAACGAATGCCTGGAGAGTAAAATAGGCTCTGTTAGGAGTGGGTACCAAGGGAGAGGAAGGGGGGAAGGAGAGAGTGAGGGAGATGAATATGGTTGAAGTACTGTATACACATGTATGAAAACAGGATGAGACTTGTTGGCATTGTTTTAAGCAGGGAGTGGGGAAGGGGGTGTGGGAGACTAAGAGACAAATAATAGAGAGCAACAGAAGTTGATCAGGGTACGTTGCAGGTATGAAAATGTCACAATGAAACCCCTTTATGCAACTAATACCTATATATGCTAAATAAAATACGCGAAAGAGAGAGAGAATTTCCAGTTTCCCACCTAGTCCCTCTCTGTAGACTGAGCCTTCTGAAAAGGAGCCCTCTCCTATCTGAACACACTTAATGGTTCACAATGTGTACTCCCGTCCGCGGTAACATTCTTCTGTCTTCAGCCAGGCTTCTCAACAAGGAGGCCTATTATCCCCGTTGTAAAAATGAGAAAACAGACTCAACATTTCACTCATTTGTCCAAGCTCAGACATAGCAAAGCTAGGATTTCAACCTAAGACTCCAAACTCCAAGCTTGGAATTCCTGCTTCGCTATCAGCTTAAGTTTTGCCTCCCTGTGCTGGACTAGGGCAGTGGGAATTAAATAAAGTAATAGTTAAACGTGGGGGGTGTGGGGGGGAACAAGGCCCAAGTGTTAGAGCACCCAAGTCTGAGGCCGTGGGTTCAATCCCCAGTCCTGCAGAAAAATAACAAAATGAAATAAAAATAAAAGGAGGTTTCCGTCGCAATGAGTGCTCAATAAATGGTGGAAAGGGGAAACTGAGGTCAAGGATAAGTAAATGGCCTCCTTCCAAAATCAAACAAGAACGTGCAGGCTGCGGATACCGTTTTAGGCCAGTCCCAGACTCTCCTAACTGGGAAAGCTGCCTCGGCCACCTTGGAAGCGCTCCAGACCCCGGCATGTATCGCTCCAGGCCCCCAAGTCTCTCCACCGAGCAAGGCGGCGGCCCCAAGCGCCACCACGTGGCAGAAGAAGGCACTGGGCACGGCCTTGGGGGCGTGGTCGCGGGGCGGGGCCACAGCGCGCCGCGGTCGCGGGAGGATGACGTTCTCCGAGAGCGCCCGGCTCTGTGTGTGTGTGTGTGTGTGTGCAGCCGGCAGCATGTGGGGTTACTGCCCCTGGCGGGGGTCGCGAGCCCGAGCGCGGCTGCCCCGGGCGCTGCTCACAGCTTGGCTCCGCCACGGTCGTGCGGCCTCCTCCTACTCCGCTTCCGCCGAGCCTTCCCAGGTCCGGGCGCTTGTCTATGGGAAGCACGGGGATCCAGCCAAGGTCGTCGAGTAAGAGCCCGAAACCGGGAGGGGGCTGGGTGTCTGGAGAGGTGCAGGACGGGCTGGGGAGCGGGGGAGAGGGGCTGGGGCCCAGGAAGACACGGGGAGCCCGGCACCTTTGTGAGGTAGACCTGAGAAGCAGTCTGGTACTCAGTGAGCTAACTGTTGTGTAAATATACCACCGTCTAAATGGTTGCGCCGGTGTCATTGACACAACCACGTTTTTGAGATTTATAAACATCCTGTCAATAAGAAAACTGAGGCCCAGGGTAAAGTCATTTGCTCAGATTCGCACACAGCCAGAAAATGGTGGAGTCAGAATCTGAACATACGTCTAGCAGACTGACCTAGCATTTTATCCTCGTTTTTGGTTTTTTTTTTTTCCCCCTATCATGGAGCTTTCAGAATACATCCACTTTGGACTGATGTTAAATAAGTACTAGATTGTTCCCATTTTACACCTGGCGAGTGACTTGTTCAAAGTAATGCAGTTAAATAAGTGATCAGACGTGGGGCTGAAATCCTGTGACTTTTGTTCCAATCCATGACATCGTGTGTGCGCCTTGGCCTAATTTAAAGAACTACTTTATATTCACAGCCTTCTGCAGGCTGAAGCAAGATTGGGAAATAACCTCAACCTGTATCCAAAAAAAAAAAGCAACCCATCTCAAAAAAAAGTGCGTCTTTTATGGAGTTACAGCTGAGTGCAGCTGGCCTCTCAACTGGTTTCTTCCTCACAAAGAATCAAGGAAGCTGGAACAGACTGGTAGTTCTGCAGATACCACTTGGGAGGAATGAAGAAAGTAGTTTTCTCTTATCTCCTGTGTGCAACCCTATGTTTTTCATGCCTGACACTTCCACAAAACATAATGATCAACCTTAGCTTTCCAAGTCAGATTTAGTACTTTTAAAAACAATTTCCAGTTTGGTATTTTAAAAGCAATTTCCAGGCTCCGTTCTTTGTGTGTGTGTGTGTGTGTGTGTCTGTGTGTCTGTGTGTTGTGCATGTGTGTGTGGGCTTGAACTCAGGACCTTGACCTTTTTTGTTCAAAGCTAGCACTCCACCACTTGAGCCACTGTTCCACTTCCTGTTTTTGGTAGTTAACTACACATAAGGGTCTCTCAAATTTGCCTGGACTAGCTTCAGACCACAGTCCTCCGATCTCAGCCTCCTTGAATAGCTAAGATTATAGACAGGAGCTATGAGCTCCTGGCTCAGACTCCACTCTTGGAGCAGTTTTAGTGGATCTAGGAAAGCTTGGAGCCATCTGTGGTTTTCAAGCTGTCTCTATATGTCTGCTGCCCAGCCACAGTATAGAACCCCTGTGGATAGATGCTCAGCAAATTCTTCCTTGTCCCATATGGACACCCTTCCCTTCTAACTCAGATTCAGGCAACTTTGTTGGATTCTCATTGTGGTTATGTATTATGAGGTTTAGAGTAACCACAGTGTCACAGAAAGAATCAATTGTCCTTTATACATCCCAGTGACTGGATATCCAGATCAGGTTACATCAGGAGGGCTGTAGAACTACCCAGAGTCCAGAAAATGATGCTTGCATTCTGGTGGTAGGAGGAAAAGTAAAGATTGAACTGCTAGTCTGCAGGAAATCAGACTGCATACAGAAATTACAAACATTCTAGAAGTTTCCAGGTTCCCATAACCATGGTCCTTTGTGCAGAGTTCTAGTTTCTCTGAGAGTTCTCACCCCTTTTCTTATTATTTTTCTGACAATCCCTTCAGAATTTGGCTCTTCTCTGAGTGTTACTGTGGGCAGTCTACCCACTATATACTAAGCATAACCCCCACTCTAATGAGGGTTATAGCACCGTGGTAGAATACTTGCCTGTATGTACAAGGTCCTGAATTGTCCTTTGCAACCCCCTCCCAAAAAATAACAATCTAGCCAGGCACTAGTGGCTCCCACCTATAATCCTGGATATTCAGTAGACAGATCTGTGGATCATGGTTTGAAGCCATGGCAGAAAAGTTCACACGAGACTCTTATCTCCAATTAACCACTCAAAAACTGAAAGTGGTGCTGTGGCTCAAGTGGTAGAGAGCTAGCCTTGAGCACAAAGAGGCTCAGGGACAGCACCTAGGCCCTAAGTTCAAGCCCCACAACCAACAAAAAAATTAAAATCCAGTATTGACATTTTTATCCCCATTTTACAGATAACCAAGGCTTAAAAAGATTGAAAGGCACTTGCCCAGATCATCCAGCTGAGACGGCCCCTCTTCATTAAAAATCCTTGGTAATGACCTAGGCCTAAAGAAATAGTCACCCCAATCATAAAGAAGAAACAATCTTCTCATGATTTTGAGAATGAGATGAAGTGTAAAATGAGGAGTAGAATCAGTGAGAAGAGAAAGTGAAATTACAAGTCATTCCGATGATTGAGCACTTCTCTGTATAGGAAGAATTGCCCCAGTGTAGGGTGGACAGAAGTACTCCTCTCTCCTTTTCACATCCTGAAGCCATCATAAAGCAGCATCCTGATCATTGTCTCCACTGGTAATACTAAGCTGGAAAACCCTTGGACACATCTTCATTTTGCCTTAAGCCAAATAGAATTTGAGGGAAGCAGGTGAGGGGCCCGGGACATATAGACTAAATTCTCAATGTGGGGCATCCTAGTCTCAGGAGTTCTTTGTACATTTGATATATTTAACTTGGTTTGTTTTTTGTTTGGTTTTGGTGCCTGGCCACTGAGTGTCATGGACTTTCCTGCCTAGCCTAGGTCTAGTCCTCAGATCTTAACCTCCTGAGAGTCATGAGTCACTAGAGCCCAGCTTCACTTGGCTTTTAACAGAAATTATAGTACATGGAAAAAAATTAGCATTTGGATTCAATGTTTATTCGTGGTCATAAAGGATCTCTGAGGGCCTACAAAGTGCTGGGCACTGAGAGTACAGAGACATAATTCATGGTCTGTGCACTCAGGAAATCCCAATCAGATCCAAGAGAAAAGTCATCACAGCCCAGTGGGTTCGGGTACTGTGGTAGGATGGGTTGTTCAGTGTACGCTAGGCACCTGGAAGAGAATGTTTCCGCTGATGATAAGGAGTCTGAATCCCACAGGGGATCTGATGAGCCAGGACCTGAGGAGAGAAAATGTAGAAATGTTCCAAGCAGAAGCTGCATGTGCAGAGAGAAGATGAAACATGACATTTCCAATCAACACTATTGAGCACCTACTGGGCACTCAATCCATAGCCCTGTGAGGGATGTACCTGCAGGACTGATGTAGTGGTAACCAGCCAGACGTTTCAGGATTCACACTCCAGCCACTCCAGAGTGGCTGGAACACTCCAGTGTTGTCTTCCAATCAGCACTTACGTTTCACCCTAGACAGAGGAGTTGGGGGACATGTCTTCCAATTTCCTCATTTCTGCCTGCATGCCTCCAAGGAATTGCGCAATAGGCTGGGATTTTTCCTCTCTGTTCAGAGCCTCTGAAAGGAATGTTGTCACTGTGCAATTCCAAGTCATTATTCCTGTCTGCCCTCTCCTAGCACCTCCTGCACTGTCTGGCATGCTTCCTAGCCCTTCCTTCCCTGGGTGAGGTCAAAGAGACACTCATTTTAGAGGCAGATAAAGAGGACACAAGGTCACACAAGCCACACAAGGTGGCTCTGGATATTTCATCCTACCCCTGCCACTAGTTATTAGAACAAGGAAATCACTCCAGTCTCCACTCTCACTGAAATGGGTTGGCCCCAATCAGCAGTGGTAAATGTGGGCATATATGTGGTATCCCCTGCAACTTCTATGCCAATAACAGACCTTCATTGCCCCTTTTCTCTATACTCCAGAAACCTTTTTCCTCCATTCTTTTCCAACGACACTTCCCTGCCAAGACAAGATGCCTTCTGTTAATCAGCTTACTGTCACTGTAACTCAGGGTTTTGAAGGTTCTAATTCATGACCCAAGTAGCATCACTGACTTTTAGTCTGTAATGATGTACTCACTACATCAAGAGTCTACAAAAGAGAGAGGAGTGGGGAATGGTGGTGGCCTCAAACTGAATTCCCTCACCACCACCCAGTTTTTCCCTGCTTATAACAGGTAAAATCTTAGAACAACGCAGTCAGCACATGGGGCACTTTAGAGTCACAGAGGACAGCTTGGCAACCATGGGGACTTCAGACAGACACAGTAGGGAGAGCCACTTGGGTATCAGTTACCTTCCTTGGTACCCTATGATGGGAAACATTTCTGGCTCTCATTAAGAAGACAAGAGTCTCTGGTCAGTGACACACTCTGCCTGTTCTTGCTCACAGTGATATTGACAGGATATTGGAAGATGATGGATAAGTATAAATGACTGTTAATTAAATGTGGAAGGCCAGAAAGAGAGAGCACAGCAGAGCTGCCCAGAGTCCACCTTACATGGCAGACAGAAGTGAGCCAGTCCCCAAGGCACTGGCCTCTTTTTCCCCTTCTCAAAAGCCTCTTTCTTCTGCCTGCTTTTGTCTCCCTTGTACTTCATATGGCATCACAGGTGTACAGCCTCGGCCTCAAAGGAGCCATTGTGACCTTATCGGGGCTGGGATCTGTCCATTAAAGACAAAGGCATCCCTCCTGCTAGCATGGCGCCTTACACTCGAAGGGAGTGTAATTCCCATACTGGGGAGGTGACTTAGTGAGGCTGTGGCTGTTGCCTTATTTGCACTCCACAAAACAGTCCTACTTCCTTTGGTAAATTAATTTAAAGAAAAGAAATGAACAGGAAATAAATTGCTATCACTGCATGAGAGGTCCTGCTCCCAGAATGGAAAACTCTCATACTCCTTCCTGTCCCAGCAGAGTGGTATCCTTGACGACTCTGTAGAACTGTCTGCAGGAACAGCAGTGTCTGGCATTGATGACATTCTGAGGGGCAGGCTGGGGCTGGTCTCCCTGGTGAGATGCAGCTGGACCAACATACCTTGCCCCAGGCATGCAGCGTGTCAGGCCTGCCCCTGCCACCGCTTACAGTGTTGGCAGCTTCTTTTTGCCATTACC